AAAAAAAAAGAGAAAAAAATCGATGGCTAGAAGAAATCACGTCTTGAGTAAATTCATACTAATGGACTGGAGTCATCATGCAATCTTTTCTGCAGATATTATAGGTTTTGTCAGCTAGCGCTCTTGGTTAGATACAAATTTAATCTTTTGTTCACATGTAATGTTTTCTGTTAAGATATGATCATGTGATGGTATTCTGATTTTCCTACAGGGCCTTTTTTAACAGTCTTTTTTCAGATTGTTTATAACAGAAGCGCACATGAAATGCCGAACAGTGATTATTAAAAAGTTTTGTTGTCTCTTTGCGCAGAGGATGTAATGTCGAGCCTAGGTTATTTCGGCGCTGACAAGCCGAAATGACCCAGGGCTGAAGATTGTATGACCTCGTTTCCAGGGCCCTTACTCATCCTCCTCTTAGGAGGGAGGAAAGGAGAAGACCCTAAGAACGAGGTTGGAGATTTAAGTTGAAGGCCTTCTATTGCGCATGAATTAGTTTTTTTTAATTTCGTCGCGGACAGGGTTTGTTACTTTCCTATCTTGCCATAACAACGACATTGATCGCGCTACTGTACATCATTAAAACAATGCTAAAATATATCAAATTCAAATCCGCCGTTTACAGTTATCTCAGGCGATAGTCACTCGCCTCCAAAATTGTAGAAAAGCGTCCGAAATCGTACAAGAGCGCCCGAATTCAAATGGTGATTGAACGATAGCGTCCTAAGTCGGACGGCGGGCAAACGAAACACTGTGGCGTTCAAAATCGTTAATGATACATGATGATATAAGTCGACAAAACAAAAAATTTTATGTGGTGACAGCATGTTTCAACAACGTAAGCCTTTCCTTTTTTTTTTTTGCTTGCGCCAACTACCTTGAATCTCTGCAAATTTTCTAATCATTTCAGACAGGTTTTTTTTCCTGCTAAAGTCATTTCCCCCACCAATTTCATTTCAATAATATATATATATATATATGTATTTGATTTCAATTATATATATATATATGTGTGTGTGTGTGTGTGTATATATATATATATATATATATATAAATTTGATATAATTTTTCCTGCGTTTCTTTGAATCTAGAGCTAATTCTTACCAGTTTGTTCCTCCTCAACAGCAAACAAGAAAAATGAGCATGTATTGACAATCGATCATATTTTATGCCAATCACTGATAATCTCGTATGTTTTTTCCTCATTTGACGGAAAATCCTTACCGCTTCCTGATGAGTAAACAAAAGGAAACCTTTCTTTCTTTTACTAAGGGCCACTTTCAGAGTTCTAAATATAGTTTTGACTGGAAAGGAACCGCGTTTATATTTAAGAAAAACGTGCCTGGAAGCGGGTAAAGTTACACAACGAAGTGTAATGTTTTTGATGAGGGATATTACATATTGCGATTTTTCTTGTACTCTTTGATACCCACAGATAAATAAAGTATTGAGTCGATAAAATTTTGCAAACTTTTCGCACCACCTGTATTTTCAAAAAATAGCCAATTATTCAAAGTTTCACACTGTTCAGTTATTCGGAAGATAACTGAGGTAAAACCACCCTATTTTTTCAAAAACCCAATTTTCGTATCATTATGATTTGAAAGAATACAAACTGTTTGGCTTGTTAATTTTATTTTCCGTGATCTGCAGTTTAAGATCTTCTCAATATTCATCTGAATTGGAACTGGTTTGTTTGAATGATTTTGTTCATTTGATTTCTTTCCCAAGCAAGGAAAATTAAATTGCAAATCGTCTGTTAATTAATTTAAGAGTAAAATACAAACAGACAAAATATTAGCCAGGAATTTATTTCACCTGCAGCAATTTGCCATTTTAACGGTTCCTTAGATGTTCCGCAAAAAAAAATATTTGATATCAACATTTTATGATCAAGTAAAAGATATTTTACCAATTACCGCACAGTTATTAAAATCACCCCAAGTAAAGTGCTTTCAAATTCACAGGTAATTCAAAACTCTTAACTTATAAGAGCAAGGAAGCGTTTAAAGGAATAGATTTCACCTCGAGAGACTCGCCATAAATGGTTCCTACGGAGTTTCGAAATGTAACATTCGAATTAAAATTTATTACGTGGCAAAAGGTTTACACCAATTACCGCACAGTGATTAAAATCACCACCATGTGGAGAGCTTTTAAATAAAGGTAAATGAATCGTGAACGGGAACGAAGAAAAAAAAATGTGCGAGACATAAATTGTAATTACTCAATTAAGTTATTGTTTGAAAAGCACGTGCAACAATCAAAGGCTTCTTTTGGTTCAGTTTTAAAATTTATTTCAGTTTGACCCCAGGAATCATAACAAATAAATGGTAAATCTTTTACCTTTTTAATTCATGTCCTTTTTTTTTTCGAACTGAAATAATCCAATTAAACCCAGATAGCTTTTTTCGCATCAGGAGACAGCTTTCCCCTTCTCCGGGTTTTGTGTTTCATCAATACCTTTCAGAATCAGTTATGGACGTATTTTTAAGTTCACAGTTCATTTATTGTCCTCAATTATATAGTTACTTCATTGAAAAAACTGTGCTAAATTTTTTCTTGAGCAAACGAAGGATAAACGAGGCACAATCCATTTGCCAGGCCGAAACAATAGTAAGAATCAGGTTGAATAAGTAAAATTAGCGTCATAAACACCTTCTTCAACGAGGCTGTCGATCAAATGGCTTTATAATTCAAAAGGCTTTGCTCTCAAGTCAACAAATAAAAAGCAGGATGGGCAATATTTAACCAATATAAGAGGAACCAAATTATTCATCAATACTTAAATGCCATGACAATACTGATTAAAATTCGGAAGTTGTATTCGTCTGAATAAAAATTTCCCACGAGCTACATTTATCTATACCACAAACAACTCGTAAATCTTACTTCCCGGCCGCGTTTAATTGCTCTGTATTTTGGCGGAAATTAAAACAAAAGGCAAACTTAGGTTTTTGTTTCATTACTTGCTTAACTGCCTGAAGAAAATAACGTGAAATACTGACGATACGACGCATGCAATATATTCCGCTAGGTGGCGCAAAAACAGTTTTGCAAGATGGTGTCGGTGTGACGATTATAAACGAACTGTGACTGTCTGCAGAGTTCTCTTGAGGGAAGAAAGCGTCTCCAGCGAGTGGTGTATTGAATTAAGGTATTCAATTACTTATTTGTTCCTTCTCTTCTTAAAATGTGGAAAATATTTATTGTTTGAGTTCCGAGGTAATCGAGATATTTACACTAGCTTGAGTTAAACTTGAACTATAGAGGACGAATGGATATTTGATCGTCGGGAAGCATTGTCAATGGCCCGCCAACTTAGAGAACAGAAAAAAAAATGAAATATTCGAGTCTGTGAGTTATATGGACCTTTCTAATAACTTTGCTTCGATGTATACGTTTATTTCTCATACGTAGCCTTCTTCTGTAAGGAATATTCGTCATTTTCGCTCAGAAACCCTAAATTTGTATTTAAGGAATTCTCCTCTTGGTCATGAGACTAATATTGTTTTAGTCTATAATTATCTTTACGGCATATGCAGCCTTTGAATTTCCAGGGAGACCCCGAGGGATTTTCGGCAAAGGTATCTATTCCCCAACATGCCCCGGGGCATTCAGGAATAATCGATAACGATCTATGTACTACCTCTGGGTGGACGGGGGGCACAACTTGTGTGTACAGATTTTTGTAAAATACCAAGTGAACAGTGTGTTTGTCTTATGAGAAGGAAGACCAGCTCTTTTGAATTACATGAAATGATGATGCAATTTTCTTGAACTTTAAATGTCCCCCACTGTGATCTTGGTAATTCATTTTTTGCCACCGTTCCTAATCTTTCATTGCACTAACATTTGAATTTGTTTTGTGGAGAATATGGTTATTTTGTGATGAAAACATTTAAGACTTTTCTGTTGACCTAAATATCGCAAATGCCACACGTAATGGTTTTCAAGTACATCCTTCTTCGCGAAAAGGGTCTCCAGGTTGCTAAAGAGTTGCGTGTAAGTGCGGGTAGCATTTCTAATTAGCATATTCTCGTGATTGTTCCTTACATTAAACCTGCTTGCTCATCTGACAGGTTTCTTTTGCATCGCGCATGTGGCCTGATCGGCTTTCTCTAAAATGATCAATTGGAAAACTTGGATGGTTTGGTGGTCTCTTTTATTTAGTGTAACAACCGCTGAATTTTTCACATCTCTGAGTCGGATAAAAGGCTTAGTTCGCTTGGAAAGCGCTCTGTCGAACTCTCTCGACAATTATTTGGAACAGATGTCAGAACCCCCGGAGGTTCTCCGACAATTCGCCGATCGTGTCAGGAAAGAAATGAAAATCGCGGCAGGCGATATCGAAAAATATGCCTTCCACCCGATCAATTCATTTCTGCTTGTGAGACGATTTGTACGACATTGGACGGAACTGGCGACCTTCCTCTCCGAAGGATCACCGAACGGTAAGGAAACAGCAGCAGTAGGTTGTAAGAGGATTAGCACTTCCCCCTATTGTCACCCAACTTATCCAGTGTGTTAATTCTGACGTTTTAAGTATAAATACTGTCAAGAGATGACAAAATTCAAAATCAAGATCTGCATGAGGGAAATTCTAACATCCTATTGTTTTTGTCCGGACCTTTATCGGTTAAAAAGATATAAACAAGTCGAAAAAACTTGCAAAATTAAAGACGAAAAAAAGAAAAAAAAAACGGTGCTGTAGTTTACCTCGACAGCTCCCTGAGCGTGTTCAATATATTTTTTATGCACTCATAGAAAAAATCCCTACCATTTCCCCTGAGGCCGGCGATTACGTGTTTTGTTATACCTCCCAACTCCAAAGTGCAGATCATGCAAATCAGTATGCAAATCATATACGAACCCTAGAACTGTTTATTTTTTCGACACTGGCTGGCACACAAGTCTCCCCACGGTTTCAAGGCACGTGACCCATGTCACGTGATATGTTCTCCTCCAATTGGTGAACTTATTTGAATTTGGAGATATGGAATTTGTTCGAATTTAGTTTCTTAGTCAGTCAGTTTTGCTGACTATGTCATCGCCAAATTTTCATCTTATAGCTATGCAGAGAAATGCTATTCCATGAATGAAGCATATGACTCAACGTTTTCCTTTATTTCTGACTATTCTTAGATCTCTATTCCGAGCTCATGATCAACCGTCGAGCATTTCCCACCTCGAAAGACTTCATTGGAAGCCTCAACGCCATTCTACGCATCCAAGAGGTTTACAATCTCAGCGCACGCGCACTCGCTGATGGAGATCTGCATCAAACAATACCAAGCAGGGGTCTGGGCGCTGACGAGTGTTATGAGTTAGGCATTGGTAGCAATGATCAAGAAAATTACGAGGGGGTAACAGGCTGGATGAAAGAAGCTCTTAAACGCATGAGCCCACCTTATGAATACAGCGGTGCACTCACAAAAATTGACGTGTTGGAATATTTAGCCTGGGCCGAGTATAAGGTGAGTTGAATAAAAGTTGTACCATTACTATCTTGGTTCAATGCGCTTGCCTCGTCAAGTGGAATATTTTTAGAGGTGTCGCACCTCACCTTTTCTATATGACTTGTTTGATACAACTAAATATACAAATCAAAATCCAGCGGACTACCCATAAGTTAATGGTAAAAAAAAAAGCCTAGGAGCAAGGACGCGTAGATTCAACTGTTGTATTTGAAGGCATAAATCTTGGACAAAAGTTGAAACATGTATGAAATATGCCTCTTTAAATAATCTCGAGGAGCACCGGTCGCCCTCTTAACTTCCTGCCTTTTTGAAACCTTTGCTTTTATTACAAAATACAATTCTACAAAACATTACTTACAATTCAAGACTCATTACGCTACTCTATTCACAGAACAATACTTACGATACTTACAATGTAGGTTACTCATGCTAGCAATACAGTACTGAATATGGTTACTTACAAAAAATATAATTACTTGCAATACGGGCTATTTACACCATTAATAATACAATACTCTAATTACATTACTTGCTGATTATACAGTTACTTACAATACATTATACGGTATATTGACTTTGAGGAGGCAGGAGTACTTCTCAATAAACCATATAATTAAGGCAAATTTTCAAGTTTGTATTTAATGAGTAGCTTACTGATAAAATCCTGAAAGGAGATGGCCAGGCTATTTAACTTGACTGAATAAATATAATAGCGCATAAATAAGGCGGTGTAGTTGAATTTCCGTATTATTGTTGTGTCGTGGGAGCTTGTGGTAATACTGAACAAGGTCTCCTCTGTGGTAGGAGAGATTTGGCACGCATTCACTTGGTTGAACCAGTTCAAGACCTTTTGGGTAAACAATCTGGTGAACATACATTCGATTAAAGAGTGTTCAATTGAATCTCTATCTCCGTAGTATACACATTCTGTGAATGTGTATACATTGATTGTGCAGCGGGAGGTGAATCGTTTGTTTGAAAATGGACGAATTCGTATGAACCGGATCGATGTCAATATCCGGCCAACTGAGCACCGACCCCTCTCCTAACCTAGAACCTGTGTCATTTTCTAAGCAAAATTGTCCACATTTTGTGAAAGAGAAGTACACGAGACATTCAATGTACGCCAGAAGTTAAAAGACTTTTGATCATCTTAGATGTCTCCTATATTAAATGTTGACAGGAGTCTTCTATTTTTGCAGGTGGGACTTCTTGAAGATGCAATCCTACACACAAAGGATATTCTTGACGAAGGTAACTTTAATCTGATGCCTTTCAACATTATAGAGCAATGTCAGTATCAGAGCAAGTGCGCACTTACCCCTCCCCTAACCCGACATTAACCTTGGCTTGTTATCAGTTGACTGCTGCTGGGTTAAGGGAGGGGTAGGTACGCAGCTGCTCAGATACCGACATTGATCTATATTTGATCACAAAGGGCCACAGAGTGAAACTCGTGTTAAGAATTTCTTCATCCCCAGATCCCACAAGTAAACAAGCTCATATCAATCTTGGACACTTCCAGGCCGAGGTGATGCAACGCAATACGAACGCAAGTCATTCGACAAGAAACAAGCTAGACAACAAGAAAAATAAAAAAGATTTCGAGTTAAAATATGAACGCTTGTGCCGCGGAGAAACACGAAAGGTTGGTATCAATTTTTTCTTTTACACTATGTTCGATTAAATCAAACAAAATAATCCTATGTGATGTTGAATTACCAAAGAGGCTTGGTGCGCCGCTTTTGCTTTACTACGCTCTGTGATTGGTTACGAAGATTGGTGCCAATCAGATGCAAACAAAAACCAATCACAAATCGCGACGTGGTCACCCACGTTTTCCCGCGCTTAAGTTGGTTGACTACTTTCACTTTGAATTCTCATTGGTTCCTTGTGATATTTTCTTTGTTCTGATTGACAATTGTGGAAAAATTGAATTTGGATTTACGACATTCACTCGAAACGCATTTCTTTTAATCGATTAGTGGTGGTCGCAGCTCTCGTCTATTAGAGACATCGGAGCATGGCCTCAGCTGAATTCCCTAGTCCATGTGGGCTGACTATGTCCTAATTTCTAATTTGTGTGATAAACGTTTTATTTGCAATTTGCAGTCTCAGAGACAGAGAGACAAACTGAGTTGTTACTACAATAGAAATCGTCCAACACAAGTGCTGAGACCAGTTAAAGTAGAAACTTTAAATTCGGATCCAGACCTCTATCTGTTTCATGACGTCATCTCAGAGAGCGAAATCGAGCTTATAAAGAAACTTGCCAAGCCTCAGGTAATAAAATGCTTTTTTTTACTTTTAACCATTTTCTTTAAACAGAAATTCAGGTATGTAGATCAGTATGGAGAAGTAATCTCCAATATCGATCCAAACCTAAGAAAGGCCCTCGGAATATTTGAAAGGAAAGCATTTTAACTAAAGTAGTGCAATGTGGATACAACTGATATTTTTAAAAAGGTAATTTTTAAACCCTTAAGGTGGTTCCTAAGAAAAAAAGTTATCGAACAATTTTTCTTAAACTTTCCTTAAATGTTACTTACCAAAGTCTGCTTCGAAAAATACAATTTAAAAGCCAGGTCACCGTGATTGTTTAAGAGATATGATCAGACAAAATTACCCCACTTACGTCTGCTCTGGCACTAATCACGCGCGTCATCATTTCACAGTACATTTTGAGGTAGTTGGAAGCAAGGATGTTTAAAGTAACATTTTAAAAAACTTGATAGGTAGAAAGTCTCAAGGAAATGGAACAATTTGATATATAATTTGTGAAAAAATTACGCAATTTTAAACGACATCGACTCAAAACGTTCCTCGAGTCGTTGCTATCAAAGTCATAGTTTGCATTATTGTGTAACGGGCTTTGTGTACCTTTTTCTTTGATTGGATCCTAGAACTCGGAACTTCACCCGGGAGCCTCTCTATTGATAGATGTATTTGGGAAAGGACTGACTTAGGGGCGTAGTTTGGGAGATAGAGGCTGCTATTGATGAGTTAACGTTAACATTTGATAAGAAAGATTCATCTTTTTTTAATAAGTGCTTGTCTTTTGTAAGAGGAAATTATCAGTAATATATACCGTAAGACAATGACCACCTATAACAACCTTTCTCTCCTGATCAAGCTCAAGAGAGCTTTTGTCACAAACACAGATACTGGAAAAGAGTTTAAAGCAGACTATAGGATAAGTCAAAGGTAAGAAATGGCTTAAAAAGATTTGGAAGAGCTCAAATAATTAAATTCTTGAACAATATCACTCCATATGCGCTCAAATGAGTTACTTTCTCTCCAGTAAGCACCCCCTTCCTTATAACTCTGTGATTAGCCCCCTTCCCTCTCTGATAAGCACTCCTCCTGACTCTTCGTACCAAATATATTTGGGCTAAATAGCGTTTCAGCATGCAGTAAAACTTGTAGCCTTTATTAGTTTTTGTTCTGGGTTCGCCAACCGACAAAATGCATATCGTTCTCGATATTCATAAAACTAAGTGACGCTCTAGTACTGATTTTGTCAAGAATGATACGAGCCTATATTTCATTATAACTCGCACATTGGGATATTGGGTTGCGGGTAGATAAGTGATAAGCCTCCTCTCCTCCCCTCCATTAATAAATCCCC